GGCAAAAGTACGCCTGGACTCCCTCTACGTAGTCCCTGTCTCTTATACACATCTAGATGTGTATAAGAGACAGTCCTAGCCTTGTTAACCTTTTTCTCGTCTCTCCATTGCCTCCACAAACGCTCCTCCCTTTTAAATCCTCAGGTAATTTGAGACACAGCCCACGATGACTTACTATTGATACGCGGTCTCGCGGGGAAATTGGAGGCAGTTGGGGACTTGGAGCTACGACTCTTACTTAGCCCAGGGTGGGATGCTTCCCACCTACCTGCAAATTTCATCCACATTCCCTAGGCTTCGAGTGCATGCAATCGACAGACTTGACACGGAGGCGGTCGGAGGGATCGTCGACTTACTTAGCCCAGGGTGGGCTGCTTCCCACCTACCTCCAAATTTCATCTACATTCCCTGGGCTTCGGGTCCATGCGGTCGACAGACTTGACACGGTTGCACAGGCTTCCCGTCCACACAGTCGGCGTGATTGCCAAATGTGTAATGGAACACAATTTTTCCCTCTTGCCTTTCCTACAGCAGGCTACCATAAATGAAGTCTTCTTCCCATCGACCCCTCCTCTCCCCGTTTGTTTTATGCTCACAAGCCTGAACACTCCATGATGCTTCCCACCACCACCGCCAAAGCAGTCTTAGTCACGGGTCGGTAAAACTGTTTGATGTACGTTGCTCTCGCAGAGACTGTGCTAATCTCCGAGTGATGTGCGCGTTTTACAGCTCAGGCAGTGCGTTTGGTCGATTGCATTGCACCTGTTGGATCATGGTTGCGCGCATCAGATCTTGTAACGATGACGCAGGGGCAGGAGAACTTCCTTCTTCTCTTTTTTTTTTTTTTTTTTTTTTTTTTCCTGACCTGAACAACCTGAGTGAATGCTAGGGGAGCAGATAAGAGCAGACGCCTGTAGCATGCTCGGGGAGGCTCCATCTATTGGTGGGGAGCAACACCTGCTGGAAAACGGGTCCAGCGTCCCTATGAACAGCCAGAAATCATATAAGCATGCCACGTGTCCACAGAGTAACAGAAAGCTGACAATTTTGCAGTACTAATGCAGATGTCGTTAGAATGGCAAACGTGGCCAACTTTTTTTGGGGTGTGTGGGGGTTGTCACGATTGCGGCTAGTGTGGGTGCATTATTGTGTGCGAGTGGAATGTGCCGTGCGGATAGATACGCGAGAATCCCAGTCTCCAGCGGGAGTTGGGGGCTGCGAGTTGAGGGACCGGAAGGTGCCGAGTGTATCAAGTGAAAGGTCAGTCTGGGCGGTGTCGTTGTTTGTGAGTTTGTTAGTGGTAGGCAGGTAGTAGTGTACTTCTTCACGATGGAACCATGTGCCGATCTGCTATAACCATGTGCGACCCAAAGCATCCCCCCTGCGGAAGCCTGCCCAGGGACACATGCCACATCAGGCTATCCAGAGAATTCCATGGCTTCTCGATCACCTCCCCAACAGCGCACTGGTGTCTGCTCTTATCAGCACCTAGCACCGCCTCGGGCTGTTTTGAAAAAAAAAAAAAAAAGAAACCTATTTAATATTTATGCAATTCTTCGTAGTATACCGAATAAATTAGGAGGTGTTGCTGCAATAGGTCTTGTCTTTGTTTCACTATTTGCTTTACCTTTTATTAACACTTCATACGTACGAAAGAAAAAAAAAAGAAAAGAAAACATCACTTCACCAAGCCTGCTGGGCAATGTGAGTTGGACACGAAGTTGGTGTGTATTGGTACTTTTTGAACCATCCCAACTAATGTTGCATCGACTTAAACCCCACCCCACCAGTACTTCCTAAAGTCGTGCCCGCGAACGCGCCACAATTTTAGTAAATGTACTGGCCACTACAGGAGTGCCCAAATTCATCCCACTAGCAACGTTTCTACTCTATTCCTTTCCACGGCGGATAGCTGGACCAAGTACTGGTGGTTTAATCCCTTCATTTGAAAGGATATGAGCATCGGCTAATATGCAACAGCTACTACAGCCTTACTTGCCACTACTACAGTCTTCCCCCGAATACAACGTACGGTCATTATAGCTGAATTTAGATTGAAAGATACCCGAAATTCAGCTATAATGACCGTACGTTGTATTCGGGGGAAGAATGTAGAAGGAGGGAGAGGAGCAGGCCCCCGCTTCTATTTTTGGGATATATCAGGGATTATTTGTAGCTGCGTAATATCATATACTAATATGTCAGTGTTTTTTTTTCTTTTCCCTTATGCTTTTTTGATCAGCTACATGCGTAATATTTTTTTATTTTTTTTCCCGTACGATTTTTTGATCAGCTACAGTCTTGAGATGTAATCTTCTAAGCTGCCAGCCACAGGTAATTCCGTATTCTATCCATCAGGTTCCAGCTGATGGATTCGTACTCAGCTGTGCATTTCGAGTGAAGAAGGTGAACATGGCAGCTATGGCTGCCTCTAAACTATCGCTATCCTAACTCCTCCCCTCTTGCCCACTGCGTCTTCTGGGCTCATCTGCAGACCTCCTTGCACAAGTCGCTGTGGCAGCGCTTCCGCATGGCTCACGCAGGAATGAAATGAATGGCTGGGCGCTGCCTCTTGATTTATACTTCAGAAAYTCGTTGGTCTGCCCTTTGCCATCGGCCCTTGGTGCTCATAGTCCCCCTGTGGTACTTGCTGGATCGGACTGGGACTGACTGGACCTTCCGCTGACTGACTGTGGATTCACCGCTATCCTACCGATGTTGTACTGCTGTTGCACTGCGGTTTAGTCCACCACTTGCCTCACCACTTGACCACTTGCCCACTTGCCTACCTTCTAGAAGGTCTACAGCTAAGCTTCCGGAACTCACTAAGACTCCTACGCTATAGACCTACAGATCGAACCCCTGCTGCCTA